CAGCCTAGTGTTAAACCATGAGGAAACCCGTCCCCAACACTCTAGTCGACACCAAGACAATAGACCTTCATACCGACCCTCCAGTAGTTCGGCCCCTCACCACTCAATTGCTTGGCCAACCCTGGAAATCCTGCCTGACCAACTTCTGGTCCTTCCAAATCCCGTCCTGACTTTAGGAGTAAGCCTCCCACCCCGGATACCCCTAGGTCTCACCCCAGGACCAAGTGCTTTCGTTGCCAGAGATATGGGCATATCTCCTCTCAATGTTCTAGTCCCTACAAAGGTAAAATTATTGAGGAGATCACTGAGGAAGAACCTGAGCCCGAGGTTGACCATATTCACTAAGTGGAACAAGATGGTGAATTCTTTGAGGATGACGACACTGCTGTCATCCACGGTATACAGAAAATAGACACATCTCCCATCTGCATGGTGAGATGTGCACTGTCACAACCTGTTGCCACTAATGACTGGCGTAGGACTTCAATCTTTCATACATACACCAAAATTAAGGATAAAAACTGCAAAGTCATAGTGGATAGTAGCAGTTGCATCAATGTTGTCTCCTCCAGCATGGTGCCTAAACTTAGTCTCTCCCACACAGACAGCCTAAAAGCATAGTACCCTCTACTGGTTACACCCCAAACACCTCTTTCTTTTACCCAGGCACTCGTCCCTAGCGATTCTCTACCTCCTGCTCACATGTAAACTCTCACTCCCTCTCTTAACAGCGCCAGGTTCTCCACCAAAGTGTATCAACACTCAAAACACCACGCACCATCCCCATCACCCTTAAGTTCTCACCTCATGAATCAGCATATAGCTCATCCTCACAATCTCTCACCCCAATGCTTTTCTCTAACAACTTTCCCTAGAACTCCAACGCTCACCTCCTACAAATTCCCCAAGAACTCCCTAATGTCCATCTCCCTCTCATCCTCTCTCAAGCTCCCACCAACTTCCATCGTGGTGGACCTATCATTTGAGCTTATCTCCTCAAGCATGCTTGCATGACCCAACTCTTGTTTTTCTCTCTAATTATTGTCTTCATCTCCCTCCTGCATAATGTCCCAGGACCAAGCCTAGTGACGTTGATCTCAACTTCCTCGAGCAATCTCAACGAAGATTTGTCAATTTTCAGTTTGGCCAAATTGAATACCTCGTGTCTTCAATCTTTTGTTTAACTACGTTCAAAAGGTCACTCCTCTGTTATTGATCATTGTTCCATCACAAGGTCTCATCTTCCTAAGTTGATCTTTGGTCCAAAAACATGGAGTGATTGCATTTTCGCCAATAACTACACATGATCAAAAGCTTGATGACAATTCACAACTTGCAAGTGAATGATTGACATCATGGTTGTTAATAGAATCTAAGCTCAAGCATCCATCAGATCTCTCCAATTGCCCATCATATGAGAATTGGTTGATTTCATCAATCTCCTAATCACTAGCAATAAAAAGCAAGAATATAAAAAAAATGAAAAAAAAATACTAATAGAAAATAAAACTAACTTCTAGTGTCGATCATTGGTTTGGCTAAATTGAAGACTTTACATCATTGATCTTTGGTCCTAGCATGGGATCACTCTCCCCACTAATCTTTGGTTTGTATGCATGGAGTAATTTCATTCTCTTCGGTAATTGCGGCAAGTCGAAACTCAACAATTACTTTCAGGTTATCAACGAGAGGAGGGAAACACAATCATTGCACCACATTGATGTCGTAGACAAACTTAAGCAAGTGTTCTGATTATCAGAGACAAACTTAGCTTTGTCAACATCATTGGAGCCCCTCGGGCTAGAAGAAAATAGGGAAATCTATGAACACATCTGACCCACATAACAACTTAACAAGAGCAATCACAATAATTAGAATAAAGCATGCAAAACCAGCCTTGCATCTGAATTTATTTTTAACTAAAGCAACGCATGTTTATAAAAATATTGGACGGAATAAATGCTTGTAGGTGTGAAAGTTGTCAACATTTGGCTTAGCAAATGCCATTCAATGTTGGGAAGAACCCATAATTTAAATAAGTGAAATAAATTACATATGCCTCTTACACTAATCTCACCATGCAATCCATCCTACCTATAGCACATTTAAAATCAAGTCAAAAATGCATGTGATTATATGCACAAGTACTTAACACACTCGAACTTGCCTTTAATAAACATGTAAGTAAGTCAATATATGAAAAGTGCTCACTTGCAATTGAACTTGACCTTTCATTTCATAAAGCATGTGAGTGCTTTTGATGAGGACATCAGATTTCGACACGTGTACCATCGCCAGAGACGCAGATCGACAGCTACGATCCAGAGCCTTTATTTTTGATTTACTTGTATTTTATTTATGCTTGTATTTTTATTTTTCTAGTTTGCTCCTGTGGGCATTGAGACACTTATGTAGCCCTAAGGGCATTTGTGTCAGTTTCATTTTATTTTATCTTGGCCTATTTAAAGGAGGTCTCATGCAATGTATGTTATTGATGAATTATTGAATGAAAAGTTTATTCTACTTGGTGATCTCTTAGTGAGTTCATGAGAGGAGAAAGATCTCTTTGTGAGTTCTAAGTTTTCCCAAGATTTCTTTGTGAGATTTGGGGTGGAAGTACTTGAGGTGAGTGGCTGCCTAATTCTTCAAATTTCTTTCTTATTCCCCTCGAATTGATCTTCCCTCTCCCCATAAGCCCCTTGCCGCCGCTCACCATTGGGCCGTCCAAGCCGCCGGCCCCATCTGCCGACCACCCACCGCCGGCCTCCCTCCCCATCTTCCCTTCCCCACCTCTTTAGCCGCCGGCCTCCCTCCTTGGGATTTCAATTTTGAAATTCAAATTTTCCCAAGCAACATTAAAGACTTTCCTAAAATAATTCCATGATTTTAGGCAATCCTCTTAGTTGAATTTCAATTCAAATTTGAAATTCAAATAAATTCCAATTAATTGCCCTTAGATTAGGAAACTTTCCCTTCAAAGAAAATCTGAAATTTAATTCAGATTTTTCTTGAAAGCTTTGATTAGTATGTGGGCCCCATTTAATTAAAACCCAAGCCTCTCTCTCCAATACATGTGGCCGGCCCCCCTTCCTTGGGCTTCTCTCTTTCATATTACATTAATTGCTCCTCTTTAATTCCCCTTAATCCCTCCCAAAACCGCCTGCCCTATTATGGGATTAAATGCATTTTCAATTTAATTCCCCCCCATCCCCACTTAATATTTGAATTTCAAATCAAATATTTTTCCCGCCAATTTCCCTTAAGCTGAAATTAATTTCAATTTTTCTTTTCCTTGATTCGACCCCACATCTAATTAGACTTAGCCTTCACGGCTACCTCCTCCCTTCCCCTCTAGCTCACGGCCAAGACCTCCTCTCCCTCTTGCCTCCACCAATGCTCCATCTTTTCTTGGCAAGAATGCATGACGGATCCGGAGCGTGATCACAGCTTTGCATACGATCGTCAAGGCGACATCGACGTCATCCGATCGCCGTTCTTTGACGTCGGATTCGGCTTCGACCACACCGTCGAGGATTCTTCGAATCGGATTCTTCCTCACCTTGTGGACATCCTCGACGAGCAACTTCCCGCCGACGAGTGGATCATCAACGGACATCCACCTTCTTCCCCAACTCCAGCTTCTTCCCCGGCGACTAGACCTCTCAGCATCTCTTGTGTGATAGTGGCATCCCTAAGTGTGCTTGCAATCCTCCTCCGCTAGCCTCCACATTCAAGAGTTGAGTGAATTCTAGGTGAAGGATCTAGATCTTAAATTTGAGGCTTTCTTATACTTGTTATTTGCATTACTTATTAATTTCTGATTGTTATTCTTACAACGTTCTACAAATTTCAAAATGTAACATATAGCTATTGCTTAATCTCTCTCGTTATCTTCTTAAACTTCCAATTGAGTAAGCAAGAGTTTATTGGTAGTACACAAAGTTTACCACTTTTATTAATCTCTTAATTGCAATTCTTGTCATCGCATTTAGTTTCACATCAGCTTTATAAGCTGTTCATGCTTTGAAAATTCCACAAAAAATGAGGTAGTATTAGTCAAACACAATATCAGAATAAATCTAGTTATACAAACCTAATCTACAAAGAAAACGACACACGAGTTTTCTCTCTTACACAGCAACAAGTATTAGAAGCACGTTATTTTGAACTTTATGTTAGGTTTTATAATAATCATTGCTACCTAATTGGGGGAGTAGAGATTTGCGTTATTTTGTTACCTTTAGTTTGTCCTAACAAAATCAAATTTAAAAACTAAACTGGATGAATGCATATTCCACAATTCTGTACTTTAATTACGACATCATAATCATATTGTTTGCATCCAATTCACACCTCTTAGCTCAAGATGTGATAATTTCTCACATGATAACTAGGATAATAACAAAAAGTCAACAAAAATGTTCAGAAAGTGCAATGGAGACGACTACCAAGTGCTCATCAAAGGATAGCCCGTTTCTGATCTTTGTTGCTTCATCTTTTATTTCTACTAGATGCTTGTCCTCATTTTCTTCTTTTTAACCTTCTTAAAAAATGTAATTGCATGTCACTCTTCTGTTTCTTGCCAAAAACTTAATGTATTACTATGGTGGCTCAGCATAAAATTATCATCTAATATGCATCTAGTCATCCTTTATCCAAATGCAATCATAAACAGATATGTATTGCAATCAAACACCATTTACTTAAAATAAGCAACAAAATCCACTCTGCCAATTTAAAGAACATACTCCAAATATAATTCATCTTTCAAATAAGGTCATATCTAATCTAGTAAAAAAGCACATTATTCCAAATGCCATACAACATATACCATTACCAATCAGTCAAAGCAGCAAACATGAATTCAATCATAGAGACTATCAGCAAAAAAAAATGGAAAGCAGTTGAATATAAACATAAAAATATCACATGCTTTTCAATGCACTCACCACCAGTGTTATAATCAAATTAACAAATTATTACGAAAAGCAAAATCAAACCTTTCCCTAAGAATGCAAATCGAGAAGTAATCAAAGAGACTTAAAATCTGATGCAACTGCATTTCACTGAGCGTGACAGCCTGTGAGAACATATAGAAACAAAGAAAAATAAAGTTAGCATTTCTAAGAATAAAATATCACGCATAAAAAATATAAATGATCGCATAAATTGCCTTTGCATTGCATGGGAACAAACCAAGGCAGTGGGTTCAATGTCAACAGTATATGCGCTGCTGAGTTTTCCCGATTTATTTGCCTATGGAAACCATTCAGCGGAATATTAGCCTTCAGAGGTACAGAAATCTAAACTTCAAGCAATATGCAACTAATGAGTTACGAAATAGATACAAGTAACAGCTTTCAATGAGGGTTTGCCAAATCATCAAAAGTTTCAAATAAATTTTGAAGAAAAGCAAATTAATTTTAGAACCAAAGGGTTAATGTAAAAAATAAACATACCTGCAGGGATATTCTGACATCAAATGGCAGTAATAAAAAATTATAACTCTCATTGTCAGAATTCAGCCTCTGGTATTCCTTGGAGTCTGGTATAGCAGCAAATCCTTCTAGCTTTTCTGCTGCTTCAAACATGTTGCAATAAAGCCCAACACTAGATATCTCAACAATCTTACTTACTTGGCCACCTTTAGATTTCACAACAGAGGACCTAACAGAAACGAAGATGGATTTAAAGGCATGCACTAGAGAAAAATCGCAACGCTAAATCCACCAAGAAAAAGCCAACATAAATGGAATGAACAAAAAGTTTCACATACAATGCAGGAGCAGATATGATGAGGACATCAGATTTTGCCACGTGTACCATCGTCAGAGACACAGATCGACGGCTACGATCCAGAGCCTTTATTTCTGATTTATTTTGTATTTTATTTATTCTCGCATTTTATTTTCCTAGTTTGCCCCTTGGGTATTTAGTCGCTTGTGTAGCCCTGAGGGCATTTGTGTCTTTCTAGCTTTGTCTTATCTTGGCCTATTTAAAGGAGGCCTCATGCATTGTAAGAAATGATGAATTATTGAATGAAAAAAAAAAAAAGTTTGTTCTTCTTTGATCTCTTAGTGAGTTCATGAGAGGAGAAGCCCAGTGAGTTCATGCGAAGAGAAGCCCGAGAAGGTGATTTGTAATACCCATCAATCTTGGTGGATTCCAAGGTTCACGGTTCTCTTATCTTTCTTTTCTTTTATTTTTCCTTGCATCGAATTCCCTCCCCAAACTTCCCACCCGCCGGCCTCATTCCCCACAAAGTCTTTCTTGGTAATTTTCCCTAACCCGAGCCCCTCCCCTTGCCGCTGGCCTCCTTGGGCCGCCCAAGCCGCCGGCCATCACCCACGGCCTCCCCTCTCCACCCACCAAGCCGCCGGCCCACCTTCAAAGCCCCAAATTTCAAATTTCAAATATTCCTTTACTCACCTTCCTAAAATAGATTTGGTCAAATTGGAAACTTTCTTATTGCGAATTCAATTGAAAATTTGAATTCAATTAGTTTCCTATTGTCTAAATCTATGATAGGAAACCTCTTTCTTGATTTAAAATCTGATTTAAATTTCAGATTTTGTTGTTACTCCTTAATTAACTCTTTGGGCCCACTCACTTAAATCAAATCCCTCTCCACCTCTCAAATCATTATAAGGATTTTAATCGTCATAATGATCCCCTAAATTGGCTCTTGCAATAAAGAGAGGAGTTAGAGAAATTTGAAATTCAAATACTTTCCTTATTTGCAAAATCCAAATAAGGATAGTTTTCAAATTTGAATCCAATCTAAATTTTAATTTAGAGAGGACTCATTATTTTCCCTCCTAATTGGCCAACCTTGTTTGGAAAGAGCTTAACTCCCCACAATTCCCTCTCCCCTCTCTCTTCATGCCGCCGGCCCAACATGGGCTTTGCCCCATTAAATCCCATTAAAGACTCCTCTCTCTAATTAATTTGAATTCAAAATTCAAATTAGTTTCCCTCCTATTTTACTCAAAACCTGAAGTTATTTTTAAATTTGGGATAAAATTTCTTTTCCTCTCCCGGATCTAACCTAATTCGCCCATCCAAGCCGCCCCCTCTTCTCCACCTTTGGCCGCCCCTTCTCTTGTGTCTCTCCTCTCGTGAAACTCCAAGTTGCTCGTGATAATTGAATCCAAGAGAAGAAGACGATCCCGTCTCCGAATCTCATCATTGGTACATGGCCGATCCTGAAGTTGATCACGGCTTCGCTTACAACGTCCAAGGAGAGATCAACATCTTCCTCTCTCCCTTCTACAAGCCGGATTGGGAATACGACGGTACCATGAAACGTTATGTCAATCGCATCATTTATTGTCTCACCGAGACTACCGAGCTTCAACGACCAAGAATTATGTGGACTCTTATCGGACGACCGCTCACTTCCCCAACTCCAGCCTCTTCCCCGGCGACTAGTCCCCTCGGCATCACTTGTTTGATAGTGGCATCCTTAAGTGTGCTTGCAATTCTCATCCGCTAGCCTCCACTTTCAAGAGAGTGAGTGAAGGACCTCTAGGTGAATGATCTAGATTTAAACTTGAGGCTTTTGTTACATTTGCTATTTGCATTACCTACTAATCATTTATTGTTATTCTGCAAATCCTACTAATCTCAAATTATAACCAATTGCTATTACTTAATCTGTCAATGCCATATTCTTAAACCTTCACTTGAGCAAACAAAGAGTTTATTGGTAGCAAAGCAAAGTTCATCACTTCTATTAATATCTTAATTGCAATTCTTGTTTATCACACATTCAGTTTCACATCAAGATAAGAATGAACAAGAAGTTTCACACATAAATTAACAAATAAAAATCTGCATAAATGGAATTCTTGGTATAATGCAGCTGGAACCTTCCCGCCACTAAGCTCATCAAAGAAAAGAAAAGTATATGATGCATTCCACAAACAAGCAAGGACAGGATTAATAAACCCAATTGATTTTTTACTGTATTTTCCTCAGTTTAAACATATATTTGCCTATGTTCAAGATCAGAAGAATGACATAAAACAACAAAAACTAATGTTGAATTGTTCTCGCTCAACAAAAAGAGTGATGCTTGTGACACAAATGAATTTTGTTTTGCAGCCAAAAGATTCCATTCGCCTTGAGGCAGATTGTAGTTAACCAGATTTTCCCTGAACTTGGTATCAGGGTTTATTTAGATCTGGGTCCTTACTTCCTATGAGGGTAAGCCCTCATAGTTAATTACACCTCTTAATGCGTAAAAAATAACTCTCGCTTAAGGATGAATTAATGTTTGAACGTGCAACAGCTTTAATTTTGGTTGTGGGGGATGAAGGTAGACCCGATCAAGAAAAATTTGATGCCAGCAATATTCTCCCAATTTTTATTGTTACTACAGAAAAATAATTTAATATTAACATCAAGGTATTTCAAATTTATAATGCTCGTGATTACTTTAATCACGCATTATCAGCTCTCTTCCATAAAGATGATATCATCCACCAATCCTGATGTCCTGATACTCCCTAACATGAAGTGGTGGAAATAAAAACTCATTATCTTTATAAATCAACAAGGTTTTCTTTTTCAAAATTGAGTGCTAAAAAAGATATTGAAGAGAATCAATCCTAACTGCCACATACATAATCAATAGAATACCCTTAAGAGTGTTTGGCTTCAAAAAATCTCTAAACTATCTAGCTGAATTCTTCAACACAAAAAAACTTCCTCTCAAAAGTTCCATCAAAGAAATATATGATGCATTGCCTATGTCCACATCCATAGACAACACAGAGATAAACTTGATCTTAAATCTCTCAAATGTGTCTTAATTGGGTATTCCTCCACTCAAAAAGGGTATAAGTATTATCATCCTATCATTAAAAAATTCCTAACTTCAAAAGAGGTCGCATTTGATGAGAAGCAAAATTTGGATTAATAAACTTTTCTTCACATCAAATGTGGCATATTTTGAAATAAGGAATTTTTTTATGGCAAGATGATAACACTTATACCCTTTTTGAGTCAATAAAAACCCAATCAAGATATATTCAAGGGCTCTACGATCAAATTGACCCATGTGTTGTGGATGTCAACACAAGCAATAAAACATTTATCTTTCACCTTAACATTCCAGCTACACAAACTTTAACAAATCCGGACACTATACACCTTCAAGTTTATATAAGAAGAAAAAAGCCTAGCAAAAATCTCCAACAAGCTCAAAAGTTGAAATTATTAACAAGTAATAATGATTAACCCATCATTACGCATTCTCCTCTATATCCCATCTAGTAGTATACATCTTTTCAAATTTTCTCTCATAATTATGAAGTCTTCCTTACATACATAAGCTCCAATTCCATTATAATACCGCAAATCTTAATTGAGGCACTTGAACACAATTAAAAGAATGGCAGAAGAAATGAAAGCTCTAAAAAAAACACACTTGGGGATCATTGAACAACCAAAAAAGAAAAAAAATGTAAAATGCAAATGAAATTTTTCCGTTAAAAATATAGAGCGGATAGAAGCCTAGAACAGTATAAAGCGAGATCGGTAGCAAAAGGATATACTCAATGCTATGGAATCAACTACCAAGAAACTTTTGCTCCTGTCACAAAAATAAATATAATATGCATCCTAATTTCTCTTATAGGTAATCGTGGATGGTCCACTCAGCATTATAATGTAAAGCATGCTTTCTTATATGGGAACATTAAAGAATAAGTTTGAATGGATCCACCAATAGTTCTTTCACAAAGAACAAAATATGCAAATTAAAAAAAAAAAGTTATATTACCTTAAAAATTTTATGAGGGTATGGTTTGAAAGATTCACAAAAGTCATTAATGAAAACTGAATACAAACAAAGCAAAGAGGATCAAACCCTCTTCATAAAACACCCCATTAATGGTAAATCTCAATTTTCATTGCACATGCTAATGATCTAATTAATAAAAGAGATGAAAATAAAAAAATACATCTCTCAGGAAACAGCTTGCTAAAGAATTTGAGATCAACCAGTTGCACAAGCTTAAATATTTCTTGTGCATAAGTTGCTCAATCAAAATAAAAAATATTTCACTCTCAATAAAATTATAACAAAAATCTACTGCAGAAATAAAATGACTTATTGCAAATTTTGTAAAACCCCAACGGAACCATGTCCAAAATTGGTAACAGATGAAAAAAATATATACATGAGAAAATACCAAATATTAGTTAGAAAATTAATCTATCTCACACTTGTCCAAACATCACAATTGAAAGTCTCATCGATCAATTCATGCACAGACTTAACGAGTTCGACCTTAAAGCTGCTTATAGAATCCTCAAATATCTTGAATTAAGTCTATGAAAAGAATTTTTACGTAAAAGGCAAACACATTATAAATTGTAGGGCATATTGATGTAAACTATATAAGATCACCAATGAATAGAAGATCCATGACTAGATACTACATATTTTTAGAAGGAAATCACAAAACAAGAAGAAGCAAAAAAATGATATGCTGTTTCAAGATCTCGCGTTGAATTTGTATTTCAAGCCATTGCCCAAAGATTTTGCATTCTTCTATGGATCAAAACTATCTTGGTAGGATCCTTGAGCATATGGATTAAGGGTTATAACATTTTAATAGATCATCTTATGGCTCTTAGATTGCGATCCATTTGCCTCCTCTTTCTCTTCTAGCCACCAAACTCTCTTGGCAATCTTTTCCCCTTTTTTAAAAAACTTTTACTTATATCCAATGTACGGCTTTTAGAGAACTCCATATAAACATCCATACTTCGCACAGAATTGCATAATAACCATAAAAGTCCCAACAAAAGATGTCAAGAAAACATTTCAAAGGATAAAAAAAAGTATGGAAATTAGTAATATCTCCAACGGTTTGCAACTTAAACTCAAATATCATGGAGCAAGTGTATGATTGTTAGAGCATTAAAATGGTAAGCATGCCAAAACTCACACTGTAGAGCTGTGCTTCGTTGTATCAGTCATTACGGTAAGAGTTGAAAATTTTAAACCAAATACATATTCCCCCTGCAAGGAAATATATAACATAAGGTGGTTGTGAACAGATATTACAATATAAACTCTACCATAAACTATGTTCAGCAATACATGAGAACAAATGGTGAAGTAACATGAAGCATAACATGCAAAGAATATTCCATGCAATGAAACATAAAGGCCAAAATAGGGGGTCGCCAGAAAGAAGAATGTCGAAAGAGAAAGAGAAGTTGAATTGGGTAAGGCAGAAAGAAAATTGGCAAGTGTAGAAGTTTTGAAACAGGGAGTTATGGTAAGATAGAATGATGATGCGGACATGGGTACGAAGATTTGGCGCATCTATCACAGGAGGCGTCGTAAATCGACGGATGTAATTTAAATCTTCAATTATGAGTTATTTTTCTGAAATTTAGTTCTTATTTGATATATTTCCTGTTTTACCCTAGGTTGGTTTATGTGAGTGTTGTAGCCCAAGGGGCAATTTTGTCTTTTAAGTTTTATTATGTTGTGGCCTATATATAGGGCCTTAAGCTATTGTAGTAGGGATGGATGATTGATATTAAAAATTTGTGTTCAACACTTGTATTCTTTTGAGAGGACAATAGTGAGATTCCTATGGGAAGGAATCGGAGTTTTCACCAGCCGCAGGATGGGTCCAGGCTCGTGACTTGAAGTCCCTTGGAGAAGGGCAAAGCATCACCCGTCAGTTTTCAGAAGAGTCCAAGGCTCGCGGTTTTTATCTTCTATCTTTGTTTTTGTTTTGTTCTTTCTTATTTCCTAGCCGTCGTCTTCATCCTCTACCTACGTCCACCATCATCGTCCCCATTTCTGCCATAAGCCGCTGGTCACCTCACCAGAAAATCCCCCAATCGCCGGCCATGACTCCCTAGCCGCCAGCCTCACCCCCTCCTCGTCCCATAGCCATGCCTCCTTCCAATTTGGGTTGGCAAAATCGAGAGGGAAAATCCATGACAATTTTGGATTTCAAATTTGAAATTTTCCTAATTGGGTTTGATCCATATTTGGAAGGTTTTAACTCTCCAATTCAAAATTCAAATTTGCATTAGGAGTTAAATGCCCCATCAATTTCCTCCATTTAATTAAGGAATTAATCGCAGCTTTAAATCTGAAATTTAATTTCAGATTTAAAAATTAATTCACTTAAGTAATTGGGGCCCACTTATTTGAAATCAAACCCCTCTCCCTCCCTCTCTCCTAGGCCGGCCCCTCTTCCTCCTCCTTTGCCAAATTAAGAGCCAATTAATGATCCTAATTAAATCCCTCATTTCAAATTCAAAACATTTTGAATTTTGAAATCTTTCATAATTTAACTTTTCTATTTTAGGAAAGTATTTATCTAGATCTATTTGAAATTTAAAATTCAAAAGGATTTTTAATAAATACTTCCTAAAATCAATCCCTAACTCTAGGAACCATAATACACTACAATTAAAGCTCTCCATAATCCCAGCCCTCCCACTAATACCGCCGGCCCCATTAGCTGAGTCGGGAATTATTTCCTAAATCTTAATCTTGCATTTAGGCAATAAATCCAAATCATCTCAAATCCCCTCTAGCCGAAATCTCCTCACGCCTATTTCTATTTGATTTATTCCAAAAGGAAAAGCCCAGTTTGGAAACAAATCCATCCTTTTTTTCCCCACTCCAAACTGCAGATATCTCCCTGGTTTCCACCGCCTCTCCCTCAGTCATCCTTCACCATGACGTGAAGCCTCATGTTCCCCCTTCAAACCTGTTTTTCTCCTAGTCTTTGAAATCTGAATTTCTCTCAGATTTTTGGTTAAAATCTGAAACTATATTTCAGATTCTGGGAAGAGTATTTGGGAACTTTTCATTTCCCCTTTCAAGAAAATTATCACAGGATTCAAGGAGTAGAATTCCCTCAGCCTCCCTTGGATCCCGCCGCCCCTTCTCCTCTCTCTTTCCCAATTCTCCTCTCCACCTCAGAACTTGCTCTCAGATTTTGTGAGAAAAATTTGAAATATTTCAGATTTCCTGAAAGGAATTGTTTCAGATTTTTGGGACCATTTGCTCTTCAAGACCCTTACGTTTCAAGCCTCCTGCCCGTTCTACATCAAATGAGGCATAGATGGAGATAAGATCTTATGAGGAGAGAGTCACGGCAGGCTCACAAGAAAAATCAGCAGTGAGAAAAAACTATAATAATTCTCTATTGATTCAAAAAAATCCCTAAACACGCTTTTACAGCAAAAGAAACCTAAGAACAACAACATAAATAATCATGAACAGATAAAACAACAACAATTTAAACTAGATCGGTTAAAAACTAACTAAAAGAGCATATTCAAAGCACAATTAAAATGTCCCCTTAATAATTCAACAAATAAAGTCATAAATAGTCATTAATCTTAAGTACGATGTCGTGCATATTGTTTGATTAGACGTTCACATGACCACCAAAGTTCCCTCCAACTTCATACCCCCAAAACAATACAACTGCCTAGCCCAACACCTATGCCAATTTTGGTAGCTCCATGTCAAGCAGAACCGCTAACCCCATTTTTCTTTTACTTAATTCTCATCCTTACTGAATCCTCTGCAACTAGCAGCTTCCCCTGATGCTGGACATCTCAATGTCTAGGGCAAACTAGAGCAAACCTAAGATGAAATACACAAAACAAACATGCACAAAGATCGAAATTTGCAAACCACCAACTCTGAGTTGCACCAAAGTTTAGTTCATTTCAATCCAAATTAAAAAGAAATGAAACTTGCTCCAAATAATAATTTAAAGATTGTACTAGCTAAAATTAAAATTCACTGTTTTCCCTGCTGTCCAGTAATTTCCTGCGCCGTCAAGACTACTTCAGTGTTTAGGTGTTACCCTTGTCACAACTACATCCCTACTTGCTTAGGTTGCTTAAACAACTATTATAGGTTGCTGTCCACGTTTTTCCTGCACCAGTTAGTGACATATAGGTGAGTCTGGGATTGTGTTTAAGTGCTGTCCACACTTTAGAGGCCCTCCAAAACACTTAGACAACTTAGATCTTTGTTGTAGTTTGCTGTCTTGTTCATTTCAGCATCATTTAGAAGCTTTAGGAGCATATTTACTTAGCGTTTAGGTGTTGCCCTTGACCCGGTACCCTTCCTAGTCACCTAGACTATTTTATCCACTAACAGGGTTTGTTGTCCACGTCTTTAGTGCACCTTCTAGTGACAATTTGGAAAGTCTAGCTTCACTTTATGTGTCGTCCCCTATCTAGATTCATCCTTAAGTGTTTCCAAGCTTTTTTCCAATGGACTCGATAAGACTTCAAAAGAAGTTAGATGACATCCTTAACCTAAGGGGCCTATGACTAGAATTATGACAGAGAAACCTGTTGACTCACCTCACTCTAAGTACTTGCCCCACTCGATCAATCCTGCTAGTCGAAAGATGCCCCACTCGACTTATCAACCTAAACCTAAACCTAAGCCTCAACGATCTCAATTAGAGTCACCTTACCGTCTACCCACCTTTGATGGTTCCTCGAACCCTCACTACTTTAGGGAATGGGTTAGACAATTAGAGGACTATTTTGAATCACGCCATATCCCGGAGTCTCACCAGGTTAGCATCGCTAAGTCTCACCTAAAAGGTCGGGCTCTTCAATTTTGGATGAGAATGGAAGATCATAAAGAGTCTCACGGTGAGTACCCTGCTTTTAATTGGAAAGACATGAGACGATAACTTAATTTAAAATATCGACCCTCTACTAGTGACCAACCAACTGGTTTTAAGCTTAGGTCACCCCGTGTTCATCAAACATTTGCGTGTTACACTTTCAAGACCCCTACCCCTAGTGACCGTCATCTAGAGCACCACCCTACCTCTCTTGTTGGAACGAACCATGGACATTACTATGGTCGAGACCACCCTTCCTTTTAGTAACATCAAGGATGCTACCCCACCCCGTAGGTTTTCTCCTAACCCTCCCAGTCAACCTTTAGCCTCCCCAATCCTTGACCCTACCAGTGTGATTTCAACCAAAAACCGCAGTGTTAGGAAAAAGTCCCCTTAACCTGAAACTGAGTACGTCCATTTCGTGGACACTAATGATATCACTGACAATGAGGACTTCTTTGAGGATGAAACTGAAATAAGTGAGTCAGATTCCCCGCATGACTTGAACCCTGATTTAGGAGATGTGGAACCTTTAAACTTCGATACCGTAGTCCACCCGAATCCTAATCTCATCAAGGATATCCCTTTGGATAAAGTCTGTCGGGAAGATAGTAATGTGATCTCAAAAGAAGATGATCTGACCTTGAACACATCGAATTTAAATCCGGAAGGTCCTGATTTAGTTATATCACTTACTGAGTTGACTTTGGATAATTTTGATGGTAATAATCTCGAGTCGGAAGCGGTTCAATTGAATTTACTACCTGATTTGAATCCCGATTTAACTAACCCCGAATCTCTCAACCTTAGGGTTATATTGAAACCTGATCCTATTGAGGATATTCATATGAATTTAGAAGGCAATAAGTTGAATTTGAATAAAGTTGAGCCTGATTGGAAAAATGAGCCTCCTTTTATTTTATTAGAGTATATTTCAAAGGTTGAGCCATTAGATCTACACTTGAGAGAGTGTGTCCTTCTTAAGTGGCCTTATCTCAACTTTTCTCGTACTGACTTTAATATTAGAGAGAGCATTAACCCATACCTTCATGACACCTCTCTAACTATTGTGCCCACACCTGTTCTAAACACTCTATCCTATCTTTTGAATCTCATACCTGTTAGTGACCCTTTGGACTATCCCATTATGATTATAAGTCAGAACCCCTTGTCTTATTATGTGCCTGATCCCTCCATTGTACCTTCTTTATACGTGCCAATCTCTATTAAGGACCCTCTCCACCCTAGTTCGATAACTTTGATTGATTACCTGGCTGCCCCTAGGAGACTATCCAAGACCCTAGCTGAAACTCCCAATGAACAGGCCCTTCTAGCTAAGAATGTCTTCATTGCTCCTCCTACACCGGTTCCCTTAAACATG